CAAGATTGCAATCTCTTCTGAACATGAGAAGGCTCTTGCAACAGACATTGCACAACAAAATCGGACATGAAGGAGATAATGAGTGCGCTTGTGGACTCTGAAACTTATCGACCACGTCTGCATGTGATCTTCTCTTCTTCCCTTCCTTCCAGAGCTCATCTCACCAAAACCAACATTTGGCACCGAAATGTCTGTGCAGCAGCCCGTCCCACCAAAAGTCACTCCATAATATCTAATGTGCAAAGAGAGACATTTCGAACTCATGTCTCAAAGAGACCGAGCGACTCTGGAATGTCAAAGTTCTATTCATGACGAAGCATGTGTCGTTTTCTCCTCTTTGCTTCAACTCCAAGAAATGACTTGGCATGGAGAGTGTCGCCACTAGTGTGCGTGGATATATAAACCCCTTCTTTCTCCCTTCTTCCTCTTGGTATCTTCTCTACACTTGAGTGTTCAAAATATCCAAAAATCCGCCCTTTTGCCCGAATGTTTGCGCCGTCTCTTCCAAAAAATCTCCAGTCACCACCCATGTATCTGCCTCTCTTCCCTGTCCTTCTCTTGGTACCTTCTCGGCATTTTAGCGTTTAAATTACGAAAAGGGAGGCGGCGGTTCATCATGGCTGCGTCGTCTCCTCCAAAATGGTCGCTGCTACGGTCAAATTGTCTGCCTCTGTTCCTCCTTCCACCTTTCGACATCTCCAACATACTTGAGTATTCAAAATGCCAGTAAACCCATTGCATGGCTGCGCCGTCTTCTCCAAAAAGCTCCAGGACATCTGTCTATGAGTCTGCCTTTCTTCCACTTCTTCGACGAAACATCAGAAACAACTATGTTACGGTATCATGAGGAGAACCTTCTCCTCCGGGAATACATCAAAAGGTGGCGCAATAAGCGACATGAAGAGCACCTTCTCTTTTGAGCTACAACATGCAAGAACTCAAAGACCAGCTAGTAAAGTACATGCGTCCGCGGTCCAGCGCGAGCTTTAAAACACTAAAATCAGCGTCCCACACCCGGATGACTTCTTCCAAAAACTACTTCGTACATCGTCCATATCTTTGTCTGCGGTCCTCTCCGCTTCTTCATCTTCAAAATCCTGACACATCGCACTCATGGCCCGTGTGAAAAAGGCGATGAAAAAACAGCATGAAGCTTTGTTGCAAGTCCGGCGTCAGCATATGCTCGATCAAATCACTAAGGTTCAAAGTCCTGTCGAAAATTATCCACAAAATCGTGATCACGAAATCGTATGATCCTGCCGGTGGTACAAGAACTCTTCAGTCACCCTTACAAGTTGAGTTTGACTGAGAAGAATATGGTAGGCTGGATATGATATGCAGTGATGATGATCATCACCATCTCCTACTAGTGACGAGACAGCAACTTGATCAGTATACCTCCCAATTAAATTACGTCACACATTAACCACATGTCACTATTTGAACAACATTGCAATTATACTTTTTATTATCAAGCGCATACTAAGCTACGTGAGACGCCATCCATCCATCCCAATTCCGAAGGAATAAGAAAAACTACAAGACCCTCCTCAAGCCTACCAGGAGGTCGCAGAGGGGATATCGCCGTGATGCTAATGTTACAGGTTTCCATTTTCCGCCTATCCGTACGCAGATCGTAAGGTCGTGAAGTGATGCGTATGGCAGTCATATCGAGAGGAGATACGACCGAACGCTACTTGTCGGTTGTTGTGAGGTGCTTACAACTCCTGCTTAGCAGAGCTGGCGCTAGCGGCGGCAGCATCGTATCCGCTCTGGGCAGACTTAGAGGCAACCGACGACGCGCTGGAAGCAGAGGATGAGGCAGCGGCGTTGGCGCTGGCAGCAGACTTGGAGATGGAGGAAGAGGATGAAGACGCGGCCTTGCCAGCAGCACCGCTGAGGGAGCTGGCGCTGGAAGCGGCGCGGACGGAAGCAGAGCTGGCGCTGGATCCAGCAGCATCGGTAGCGGAGGTAACGCTGGCCTGAGCGAGACCAATCTGCTGCTTGATCAAGTCGGTGTAGTAGGCGAAGCCACCGGTGGCAGCAGCGTACTGTTGGCCGACGTTGGAGGTAGCAGCACCGTAAGCGGAAGCACCAGAGGCAGAGACGGAGCCGGCAGATGCAGAGGCGCTGTCACCGTAAAGGCGGGCGCGGTGCTTGCGGGCGAGAGCGATGAGCTCGTTGCGCTTGGAGCCCTGGGGAACCTTGATACCGTTCTTGTCAGCCCACTCCTTGATCTGGCTGTCAGACCAGGAGTCGAGAAGGGCGTCGCTGAGGCTTTGCTGGGCGTTGGCAGCAGCGGAAGAGACGGAAGCGTAGGCGCTCTGGGACTGCTGGCTGGCAAGACGAGACTGGCGGCGGAGAGCGGCGATCATCGAGTCGCGGGTGTTGGGCTGGGGCACGTTGTAGCCGCGCTCATCGAACCAAGACTTGAGGTCAGAGTCAGACCAGGAAGCGTAGAGCCAGTCGCCGGGGTAGTTGGCAGTCTCCTTGGCCTTCTCAGCCACAGACTGGTAGTTGTTACGGACGGCAGCGAGGAGAGAGTCACGCTGGCGGGGCTGCGGGACGGGAATGCCGTGCTTATCGGCGAAAGCCTTGAGCTGGGAGTCGGACCAACTGCAGATTGTTAGCACTGTGCCGAAAGGCAGGTTTCTGGGTACTCACGAGTCGAAGATCCAGTCCTTGACACTACCATAGGCCTGGTTCGCGGAGTCCTCAGTCTCGGTCCAGTACACCTTGACCTGCTCAGCGAGGCTCTTGGCGTCCTTCTCGGTGCCCTTCTTCGCCTGCTGGCCCTTGAGGGTCAGGTAGTTCTGGAGCGTCTGCGCATCCCAGCTGGTGTAGGGAGTGACGACCTTGTCGTTCCAGTTGGCCTTGACAGTCGACTGGAGGTTCTTGCGGTCCGAGGGGCTGGGGTGGGGAACGCCGTGGTCGCTGAGCCAGCGCTCAAGCTCGGTCTCGTGCCACTTGTCGTAGACTGCTTCCTGGCGTCAGTATACTGCTGCATGGCGCTGTGGACAAATCAAAACAAACGGGAGGGGTTATGTACTATACGCACCGGCGCTTCCAAACCAGCTGTTGGCCGTTGCCGTGGCAGCAAGGGACACCACGAAGGTGGATGTAAGGGAGAACCTCATGATGTGTGGCTGCCGAAGTGAGGATGTGCTTGATATCGATTAATGAAGCAAAGACGAGGGTGTGAAGGTTAGGCAAACTCGGCAGAGGGGGTGAGGGCTAGAGGGTAGTGGTGGGCAGCGAGTTTATGAGGGGAGGGAACAGACAATGGCGGGTAGATTGTGTGCGTGCGAGTGACGTAGTGCTGCACGTATGGAGCTTGGGCAAACAAGATCCCCAACGCGCCTGCCTCGCAGAGCAGCCAATGAGGAGCTATGGCCACATGCAACCGCGTCTTCTGGCTGTGCGCAATTGTGAGATCGCCTTTCAGGAGCACGGTCTAGGCCCTGCATATGCTTGACGTTTTCGCAGTAAGAGAGCTCCGAGGCCTGTCACTCTTGTTTACAAAGGCAGAGAGCATCATCGTGGCACAAGTCGTGCGAAATAGCGCCCCTCTGCCGGGCGTTGTGTCGCGATGGCATTTCAAAAAAATCCCATCACGTCGACAAATGCGGGGGCGATCCACACGCTAGCCCCCTACGTCATCCCCAAACATGCACAAAACTTATGAAGCCAAGCCTACGTTCAGAGCCCCGACGATGGATAGATAACAGAGGACGCGTTATCTCTGGCTGCTTATGTTTGATGAATGTTGTACATTTCATGACACTTCTGCGTGTCAATTTCAGCTAATTGTACACCATGCTCATCTTGTCCAAACATTCACCCGCCCCTTGCTTATCCTCGTACGCCTTCGGAGCCGCTTCGTCCACCTTCGCCTGTAAATGTGTTAGCAACATGCCAATGCCCTTCGTCAAGCTATGACATACCTTTCCAGAAGCCGCCGGGGACTTTGTCCTTCTCTGCCTCTTCGTTGCTAACCTTCTCATGCGCCTGTTCCGCCCTGTTATCCATGTCCTTGTTGTGTTGCTTGACGTCCTCGCTCTGCTCCTCAGAAGCCGGCGGGTTTTCGTTGAGTATTTTGGGTTTCGCACCTTTGACTTCGTTGGGCGAGGGCTTGTTGTCTTGGCCCTGCTTGACCGCTGGCTCTTTGTTGTCCTTCATCTGGCGGGCCGATGTCGAGAACTCGCGCTTGCCGGAAGAGCTCTTAGGAGCCGGTGACTCGGATGTAGGCTTAGGAGAGTCATTCTGGCTGGTGTTGCTGTCCTTGTTCGGCGACGACGAAGACTTGCCCTGGGCGACCTTGGGGGGTGCGGGGCCGGGGTGCTCGAGGTTCTCGCTGGGGTTGGCACCCTGCTTCTCGGGCTTCTCTCCAGCTGGGTTGCCCTTACCAGAGCCGTAATCTGATGTCGCGAAACGAACTTGGACGCGGGCACGGGGAGCCGCCGAGAGGGCTGCGGGCCGTAGTGCTGCCGAGCGCAGCATTGACATGGGTCGTAGGAAGCTCATGATGTGAATTGGTGAGATGCAATTGAAACTGACAAAGATTCCTGTGTTGTGAGGTGTGTAGTTCAAAGTTGAGGTTGCCCGCCAAACGTAGGGTCTAGAGCTGCAATAAGTCCAAGCTCGTTGTTGACGTCATGGTTTCCTCAAGTGCTAAGCTTCCAGCCGCAACGCACGTCACAGGAGGCTCGCATAACCACATCTGCAGTGCCGCAGCGACGATCAGCTAGCCTCTCAAACACCAGCCATTCACACGATACTGCACTTCAGCCGCTGTTTAGTGTAGATAAGACCTTGTTTGGGGGACTTTGAAGCCTGTTATGGTGACGGAGAGGCGCATTGCATCTCAAGCGTCTCTTCGGCATGAGCAGAACACATGCCAATGGCTTGCGATAACACGGAGCGAGCAGCGAGCCATTACTACTGGGACGACAATCGCCGGCATTTGCACAAAAAACTCGTAGTTCCAAGAATGGGCTATCTCACCACTCACAATAAACAACAACATGGACCTTCCTCTCAACACCCGGATAATGACAATCCGTGATACTATCAGCATCGTTCTTCTCATCGGCCTCTTTACACCCGACCGTCTTGCCCTGACCCATGCTAGGACAATGGAGTAAACCCGGATTGGACCCATCACTCAGGTATTCGCAGTCCTCTTCGCCAAATATTGGCATAGTGAAAGTGCCGTGCGGCCACGGCGGGTTTGACAGGGCTGAGGCCTCGGACCATTGCCGCGAGACATCGTTGAGGATGGGTACGCTGCAGCCATCGGCTTGGGTGTTGGGTTTGATCTCGAAGAAGGTCCAGTTGTTGTAGTCTTCGCCATTGCCATTTGTGTTCCGGAAGATCACCGATAATGCCTTTGTCGGAGGCTCGGTTTGAGGTGGTGGTGGAGATTGCGATGTAGAAGATGGCTTGGGCGCTGCTGATGGTGATTTTGTCGTACTAGGCTGTGCCGGTTTCCACGTAAGAAACGGGGTATCCGTCGCCAAAGAAGACTTTGAAGTTGGTGATGATGTGGCTATCGACGAGGGCGGTGGGCTTGAGCTTTCGCCGGTCGAGTCGCTCAATGACGGCTTGACCGTTGTCTGGAGGGTGGACGGAGTAGGCGCAGTCGAAGCTGCTGATGCGATGGGGGATACCGATGATACCGACAAGCTGTTGCTAGGTCGAGCACAAGTGTCGCCATCTTGACGTCTCAACAAAGCCTCGTACTCTTTCCACTCTACTTCGTCCGCATCCGTCATCTCTCTTCCCCTGAGCAAGCGCAGGTCTTTACCACTGGATGCAACGGACCGTTTATTTGCCTGCACAACCTGATTTGGGAATGGCTGCCATGCGTCTCTGTAACGGTAGGTAAGAGCATCCTCAAACCAAAGCTCTATCGCCGCAGCTTGCTGCTGATTGCAACCGCCTTCTGTTGGTACGAGAGCGGCTGTCACGGGGTCATATTGAATGTAAATTTTGCCTTTGGGGGCTCTATTATCGTCATCTCTCCCAGCCGGAAAGTAGGGAATGGTAAGTGAGTCACTTCGTCCAAGAATGCTGGTCAACAAATTCTTGATCCTAGTGACTTCGGCTGGAAATTGAACATCGTCTCTGGCTGGATTTACGGCATGATCCCGATACGGCGTGATGATAAACGCACGTACTTTGTTCGCTTGGATGTTTTCAAAGTCACCTCCAGCTCCAGTGAATGTTGTGAGACCTTCGGGGAACTCAGGACTGCCATTTTGTAGAACATTCAAGACATCTCCTTGAAAATTCTGTGGGTACTTCATGGAAGGTATTTCCCAGATGTGAGTAAGATACATTCGTTTGCGGGAGATGACCACAACGGATGTGCAACCATATAAGTTTACTAGGTGCCAATCGTCCGCTGTATTGCCCAGTCGGAAAGTTAAGCCAGTCGTTCCGACTCCGAGTGGAAGAGAGCTTTTAGGACTTGTAGCGATCTGGACGAGAAGCCAAGTCCCAACAGCACCTGATTAAGTTAGTAAACCACCTGTACATGTGATGTTCATATGTATTTGGTTGGATGTAATCATTCCAAGTAGTACTGGAATGATGGAACTAGAATTGGGCTTGGGCACACACCTTGGTCACTCCCTTGGGGAGGACTTGAAAGAGTTCGCTTCGAGATGTGGCTGGTAGACTGACTAGTCTCCACGGGTGCGAGCTCCCGCGTCCTCAATTCAGGCTTACTCAAGTACGATGCAATGATCGTCGAAGTTGAGGAAAGGGCATTGTCCTCAAAAGCTGTGGTTAATTTGGTCGGAGCAGGCGCGTCGTTTGCCCATCTTCGCCCATTCCCATTGCAGCTGTCGCAGTCGCGAGCGCATAACTGCCGAGCAGTCGTTGTCGTAGTTGTTACCGTGGATAACGATGTGACACCAGTCACATCGCATTTGGTGATAGGCGCCCCACAGACTGTGGTACACAAGTCGCCCTGCGCCCGCTTATTTGGGCCTTCTATCGTCGTGGTTGCAGTCGCTGTACATGTAATGTCGCAGTTGCTAACGGTCGTTAGAGTGCATGTAGAGGAGGAAGTCTCCGTAGGGTCTTCAGTCTCTGATGCCGAGTCAGAGGGCTCGGAATCTCCATCCGGCACGACGTCGTTGAGAGCATCGAGCAATGGTTTGAGGTCGTCTTGTAGGCCTTTGACGGTATCCACGGCGGCAGTCGTTCCGCCGACCACTGCATCTTTGACCTTATTGGTCGTGTTGATGACACAGTTTACGAGCGAGAATGCTGTCTTGAACAAGCCACCGAGCAAATCGCGCTCGCCGAGTACGGCGTACGTATCACGATCTTGTTCGCTTCTTCGGCGTTTCCCAGATCCACACGGCTCGACTCCGTCTGTTGGCTTTGGTAGTTTGGCTAAGAAGCCAGCCGCTTCAGGCAGAATATTGTTCAGCTCGTCTATCACGCCGGTGACATGAGCGGCAGGATCCTCTATCCAATTTTGGATAATGGGAAACACACCCACGATAGCTATGGATAGATCTGACGCGCTCGATTGAACTCCGGTCCCAGTGGGTACTAGGGTAGTGATTGGCAATGATGGAGGAATAGTAATACCGGGAGGAAGTGATGGGCTATCTGATGTTGCGAGTATCGATGAAGCAGTGTTGGACCCTGAACTGACTGCAGTAAGTTGCGCAGTCGGACTGAGGCTAGTCGCGCCACTGGTCGCAGCTTCGATGTTGGAACTCGAGAAAGTCGTTACGTTGGTAGTACTGGTCACTCCCGATTGAAAAGTGCCAGTGCTGGACAAGACTGAAGATAGCGTGGAAGACGACGCGATAGGCGAGACTGAAGAGGGACCTAAAGAATGAGAAGAAGAAGTAGATGCCGCCGACGAATACGTGCTCGTGATCGTATTCACAACCGTATCATTCTTCTGTGTCGCCAAAGGGAGAGTAGTGAACGAAAGGTCTGAGGGTGTTGTGCTATATGATCCAGTGATTGGAGTGGAAGGTTCAACAATAATGATACTGCTGCTATTGACCGGGACCGGAAATGGAGCTTGACTTTGGGAGATCACACTGCTGCCTCCGGTACCCGTACTGATCTGTGCCGTGATGAACGCGGGATAGGAAGAAAGCAAAGCGAGTGCATTACCGCTGCGTAGCAATTGCATGATGACGGGATGATTTAGGACGAATGATTTGATAGAGAAGTGCTTTGGACTCTCCCAGCATCATGATCGATGTTCGGCTTTATGTGTCCTCTGGACGGACAGTGTGCTTACGCTTTCATTCACCTACATTTCAATTGAGATCTTCTCGCACTGCCCTGCGGCGTGCATGCGTTTCGTCCAGAAATTGCAAACATTGCGTAGCGGTTGTAAGAACTTGTCGCAGATGTTGTCACCCGGGACTGAGGACATGCATTCTGCCTTGCGTTGCGCAATGGCTTTCTACGCCGCAAAACAGCGTTGCTGCAAGGTGACATCTTGTCAAACCGGTCACCGAATCTGAGTGAAGACAGGGGCGGGCCCTCTGCATCCGAAGAGTTTTGGCCCGTGGCGTAGCGACAGAATATTCTTGCAACAGGCGTTAATGGTCATTTGGGGGCGGCCCAGGTAATATGACGGTGTCATCCGTCATGCTTGTGGAATTCACAGCCTTGATGTACCCTGCCTGGGCCCTAATTTGCCTTCGAAATCAAAACCACAGAATGGCATCGCAAACTCATTAGGCGAGGAGAAGTGGATGCCGGAAGGAAGGCAGCGGTAGCACGTCAACCAAGAAAAGAATCTGCACAGGTCTGCAGCCTACATCAACATGGAAGCATACAAGATAGGTGGCCTAGCGTCGATGTAGGCTCTAGACCTGTTCAGTTTTTTTCTTGTATGAGGTGGTAGGAAGGAAAGGCAAGAAGGATTACAAGGTTGTCGCTTGCCAGCCGCACGGAACACAATTCCAGCGCTAAACCCATCGCGGCCCCATCCGTCATCCTTGGGAAGGCAGCTTCCGAAACAATGCCGCATACACCGCAAGGAAGCGCTGACCTCACAGGATTCAATCAAATGTATTTATACCGCGGGGTGACGCAGACTGTCACTCGATCATACCACTTGACTCCATCCTCTGGGCTGCATACCTAGGTACCTAGGTACATTCCTCCAGGGCTGGATCCATCATGCCACCCCATCTCGCATACTATAGACTCGGAGACCAAAGTAACGATCCGTGCTGTGCAATCTTCTTGCAAGCGTGCGAGAGCAATAATGCGGCCGTTGCGTTAATGCTGGCGTCTGGTAGAGAGCCTGAACCGCTAACGTACGGGCTCAATAAAGCTATCGAATGCAATCATCTCGACCTGGCCACACAACTCCACACCGCAGGTGCTAGATGGGACACACGTACAGTGCACTGCGCATCAGACTCCCACGAAGGGGTGAAGTGGTTGTTAGAGTGGGGTTACGACGTCAACACCAGCATCGCCTATGGCGCTGTGCTGCTCCCGTAAGTCTGTGCGACGAAGCCACTACGACACCGATTCCTAGGAAGACCGCAACAGTTGGCTTACCGAAGTTAGTTTAGTTGTCAAGCGTAACGACGAACCGAGCATTCGATTGCTCTTAAAACTAGGAGCGAACCCCAACCTCGGGCCATCGAACAAGATAACAGCGCCAGCCATGAACATGCGTCCCATGCCTAACTGTGGCCACACACTCAATGAAGCAGCCGCACATTGTAGCCCAGAAATATTCAGTCTTTTACTCTCCCATGGTGCTGTGTTATCCAACTCCGCACCACTCCACCATGCGGCAGGCAGTAAAAGCGACAACAGGATCCCAATGCTTGAGTATCTCGTCGGAGAGCTAGGCCTCGACATTCACGGTATGGATAGTGGACCACCTATCCCGGACGAGTGCTGTGGACGTGAGGGGACGCCATTGCACTGTGCTCTCCACTGGAAGCGATACGACACGGCCAAATGGCTACTGGAGCATGGTGCCGACCCTGATAAAGGCTGCAGCTTTCACGGAATGCCAGCAAGAGCATGGATTGACCGCCTCCCTGATGACAACGAACTTGTGGTTCTGCTTCGGGAGCATCGAAAGAACACTAAGTCCATCGCGCACTTCTGAGGAACAAGTTGGACTACTGGAGTCAGATGTATGTATCATTGAGTTCGATAAAATTGTACCATTAGCAATTATGATAGCGAAGAAACCCAAGGTATCATCATCCACAGTTCGACTTTGTGGAGGAAGGATAGCCGGCATAATCAGATATTGATTTCAGGTCGGGCTAGAATAGATGCAGTAGTAGTACCCAGCTCACCGAACGTAGACTTCTACACACGCTTAACACGTTTCCTACTACCCTCCAGCAATTCATCCTTCCCATCTCCACCATTTCCATCATCACACTCCTCAAACTTCCTCTTAACCCCCCTCAAAACCAAACACCTCACCTCAGGTGCCACACCCCCATCCCCACCCCCCATCACCCCCCTGCCCCAAGCCCTCTCAAACCTCCACCCCTCTCTAAACACCACCATCCCCTCCCCTTCATTCCCCCTCCCACTCGGCCACCCCTCCCTCTCCCACCTCTCACTCGGCACCTCACACCCCTCCCTCAGCCCCTGTACCACCCTCTCCCACCTCGCAACCGTAGCCGCATAAACGCTTGTACCCCTAGTCTGCATATCGCCCACAATCTCCCTATACTTCGCCTTATCAGCTACCAACCGCCTCACCCACCCCTTATCCGCTTCCACCGCCCCGTAAAACGCACAACTAGAAGCATAAGGTCGGAGAAGGGGGCATGTGGGACCGCAAGACCCACGGATGGAAAGGGGGCTGCAGGTGAGGCAGTAGGCGCCGAGAGTGTGGTAGAGATGGTGCATGTGTGTGCGGGTTATAAGGGAGTGTTTTATGATGGAGAGGGAGTGGTGGAGAGCGGAGATGCGGACGAGCATTTGGGGGGTTGCGCGGGGTTGGCGCTTCGGCTTGGATGGAAACGAGGGGAGGAGGTCAAGCCATGATGCGTGGGTTCCTGTTGGTAGGGCGACTAGGGCGCGTGGCATGGCTGTGTCTATGGGTGGTGAGCTATTTCTGCTCTATCTGAAGGAAGGGTTAATGAGTTGATAGTAATGTTATAATACTGAGGCCTAGATAGTACGTGTTACGCCTGAGAAAACTACAGTGCATTGTGAAAGTTTGGATCAGAGGGACAATACATTGTGTCAAGGCTACAATGGCTCACTTCGAGAACATAACAGTCTCATCTAGTTGTCGCGACAGTAACGAAGAAACGTGAGGTGAAGATGTACAGTGTAGCAAACGATTGCGTTGTGGAATTGCGTTTGAGATGGAGCACGTGTTAGTGAACAGCGTGCTGCTCATCTGGAAGTGATGTGTTCGGTTGTGGGCGAGATGATGTTTGCTATTGCCAGATAATTAAGCTTTCGTATCCATCTTCTTGCACATCTCCCTCATTCACCTCCGTCATCCTCCTGCAACCTCTACATCAATGCGGTCGGAATCCTCTTCTCTCCCAATATCTGATCAAAAGTCGTCGGAACATGGCGTTGCTGTCGCTCCACTTTTTGGATTTCCATATTTTCCTCTCGCTCCTCTTTGGCCGCTCGATGGCTTCGTTGTTCCTGGACAGGTAGTTGCGGTTGAGACGAGTTGACCGGCTCTGGATCAGCCACAGGGCTGAGCGGAATGTCTTCGAAATCAGGTGAATTGGAGAGCTTGGCGAGGCTAAACGAGCGCTCACTGGGTGTCTCATCGAAGCTAAAGCGGCGTAAGATGGGTGGCGTGCTCCCAATGATTCGGATAGCTGGAACGTTGGAAGAAGTCTTCGAGCGGACATGGGTGCTCTGCATCGTACTGTCGTGTCTCTCGGTCGCAGACCTTTTCTCTTTCGTACTGCTGCGCTTCACGGCAGCTTTGCGACTCAGTCTGACGGGGTTACTGCGAGGGCCAAGAACAGCGTCATGGTCCTTAGCGTTGTCGAGTGGCGCGTCGCTCATGCTGGTATCTGTAGTTCTTTCGATGCTAAAACCCTCATGTCTTCTCTCTAGCCATGCAGGGGCACTTCGATGCTTTTCAGCTTCCGTATGTGAAGACCCTTTTTGTTGGCTGCCCAAACTTGACGGTAGATGGGTGATGCGCTGCTCATACACGTTATCGTTCACGAACCGATCGATCTGCACTTCCATATGGCAACCACCATTCCACCTCAGAAAATCTTCAAACGGCATCACGCTCCTCTGAAGTGGTGTTTCTCTCGATGCCATGTCGATTTGATGCGGGTATTAGTCGACGGTAGTAGCGGGAATATATCGGATTGCTCATTACGGTCGCCTTGCTCTTCAAATCCACACGTTGTTTGCGTACGGGAGACATCGTGAAGATATCGTGTTTTCCAGAAGTTTGCGCAACATTGCGAACAGTGTGTGATTTCCGAGATTCGTCACGCATCTTCGAGAGTCGTGTAGAGGAGTTATGCGTGGTCCTCAGTGTCCAGGATGGTTATTCCGTAAAGTGAAAGGTGAGAGCAAGCGGTATCGCGTCTTTCAAGCGTCTTTCTCCTCTTGCATCCTCTTGACCTCCGCTTCCACCCCGTCCACACTCATCGGCACCTTCCCTCCCTCCCACCTCTCCCTCTCACTCCTCACCCACCCCTCCAAACTCAACAACCCCACGCACAAAAACCCCAAAACCTCTCTATCCGTATCAAACACCTCCCACCACTCACACTCCGGCATCTTTATCCCCGTCTCGCGCGCCGCAAGATAGATCCCCGCCGTCGCCAATTCATGCGGCTGATGCGTCAGGTAAAGGCACTGTGGACTCAAGAGCGCGGTATTGAGATGCGCGATTGCGCGTTTTGCGAGTTCGGAGGCGCGTGGGTGGCTGAAGATGTCGAGGGCTTGCATGTATGTTATGCATAGTGTGTAGGGCAGTTGAACGTGTGTGTTGAAGCCGAGGGTACGCAGGATGCGTTGTTCGGTTGTAAACAGCGTTGCGCGGCGGCGCTCATATGTCCCCTCGCTGACGTAGTATCCCTTTGCGTCTTCGCCCGTTTTCTGAAGCTGTTCCATATCGAAGTATGTCGCCGGTAGCGAGTCGAGATACGCGTACACGTTTACGAGACTACGCGCAGACTTTGG